GAGTTTCCAACAAAACTAAATTTTAAAATCCCACGTTAACTTGTCTGGACTACATTTTTCTCCAGCTCAAGCTTTCTTGTAGAAAAGAAAAAGATACAGACCAATAGCACATCACGAAAGCGTAATGAGAAGAACTGTCATCTGTCAGAGTCAACGGCAAAATGGCTGATCTTTACAAACCACAAGGAGTAATTTCGATTACGCTGTCCCTAACCGCTAAGCCTCCAGTGACAATGTGCCAATCCTGAATCCTGCCACATTCACTTTGCAAACGTGTCTTAACTGCAAGGCACTAATGCATCATTTAGCTTTTAAAAACTGGACTGTTTTGCTAAATGATTCATCAGTGGTCTGAGACTTAACACAATTTGAAAGTGAGTTTTTAATACCTCTCGGGTAAACTATATTTTTGCTATTTAAATCAAGACAGTTTTGTTGGTGAACGTGAAGTTGATCCCCTTGTCCTAGAATGACTAGAGTCAGGGGTTAATACTTCATGGTAGAATCCTACAAATTTTACCAAGTTATAGGACTAAAATGAAAAATACTGTGCACTTTTGTTTGTTCATCTAAATATACAGAGCTCGCGCACGTGTGTGTGTGTGTGTGTGTGTGTGTGTGTGTTGAGAGCCAAAACTGTAAAAAAAATCTCTCCATCATAGATGCATCTGATATCACAAATACCAAGAAAGTGTAGACCATCAACTCATCCAGTATTGAAAGTAAATCACTTTTAATTACTTTTCCAACAAGTGCCTCTATTTTGCTCTCCGTGGAGAAAACTTTTAAATGTTCCTTCCCCCAAGATACTTAGTGATGATGTGCAAATACTTTCATTTAAAAACAAGAGTAACTTAGCAGCAGCAATACTACCAAGTTCATATTCATTCGTACAGGGCTCTAAAACAAGAGATGATCTTTAGCAATTATCAGTATGTATTTAGGAGAAAACGTGTTACCGTTACGGTAAGTGTGAATTATAGTTCCTCTTTCTATATGTATGTGTGACACAGCTTTCTAGTTTCAGTTGCACACCTAAAGACGTTCCCCAAGAGGGGAGCTGCATACCTACCCATAAGGTGTTAAGAACATTTTCTTCTAAACCAGCTCTTTTGAGTCTATGAACACACCGTACGTACGTTTAAACTATAACATATGACATCTGTATGGAACGGAGAGGGAGGTTTTTAAGAAACTCAAAATTAGTTCTCAAAATCCAGAAAGCGTTATTATGTAAGTTCAACATACGTGCAATGGCCGCAAAGAATGTAAAAGTGAGGCCTCTAAACGCGGGAGAGGAGACAGTTACAGCTCAGAGCTCAGTTCACTCAAAGAATGTGGGCGTTCCTGTCCATTAATAAAATATTAACTGGTACATCCCCACATTTACTGAAAATCCTTTGTATGTTAATCACTACTTCCCCAAACAAATTCACAGATACGTTTTTAGAGAACTATTTCAGCAGCCTCCTCAAAAACACTGTATTGCCTACACCGAACAGAGACCCTTTCATGAGAAAGGAAAACCTACCACACACACACACACACACACACACACACACACACACAAATGTACTAGGATTTCAAATGCTCTGTGGCCAGTTAAGCCTCACAAATAAAGAAACAGCATGTTTCAACGCGCAGGAGACAGACTCACACAGTGTAGTTTACGACCCTAACACAAGGGAGAGCTGTGTTCACATCACGTAGGGGCCTTCATCGCGCGCACCCAGGCTTTCCTGCGTTACCTCCCAGCTCTTCTTCCCATCTTTAAACACCCCGCTGCTACAAAATGCTGCCACGTGCTTGAAAAACTTTCTCATCTTTAATCAAATAATGTCCTTTTGCACCTGAAGAGTCTCCCTGCAAGACGTTATAAGAAGGACTGGGAGTTCGGGGACATTATGAGCCACCTGGTCTGACGGACGACCAGCCAACTGTCAGCACCGAGAGTCTCACCTCTGGTTCTTAAAAGGAACAACTGATTCAGCTGCCCAGCAAGTTTATTGCCAACTTCCCCGTAATTTGGGCCTAGCAGAATTTCTTCCTAACTTTCCAGGTTCTTCACATCTTACAAGCAGGTAAGGACTCTCTGAAGAGATTCTGATTAAGACTTTTCTGAGAGGGAAGCATTTTAGTAGCAAGAGTGAAGTCGTTTGAGAATATTTCAGACAATATTCTTAGCATCTTGTGACTTCCTGAATTATAAAGTGGACATAAATGAAAAACATCAGTATTCCCTTGAAGTTGGAAACAAACAGGCTGGGCGTGAGCACCTTTGGTCCTTGGGAGGAAGGACTTGGCGGGCACTGAAGCCCAGTTCTCTCTCCGACACAGGAAGCCCAAAGGCCAGGGCGGCAGCTTGGAAAGATGGGGCTCCTAAAGGACACCCTTTCCCATCCCTACCAGGATAGTAAGCTGCAGGTGGGAGAGATTCAGTGAATGTTGCCTGAATGATCCAAGGGAAGGGAGCAGGATAAGGCAAAGGAGTCAACGCCGGTTACCCTCACCCTTTTCCTCTTTTAACTAATGGTGAACACGACTGGCAATTTAGCCCTGCTGGTCCTGGCCATTCCCACCACCACCAACTCCCAGAAGTGGTCTTAGAGGAGTATCTGCTGATTTTCAAAATCAAGACAGGGAGAGGGAGGCGCCCGGGGGACTCAGTTAAGCATCCAACTCTTGGTTTCAGCTCAGGTCATGAACTCGCGGTTTGTGAGTTCGGGCCCCGCATTGGGCCCTGTGCTGACAGTGTGGAGCCTGCTTGGAATTCTCTCTCTCTGTCTGCCCCTCCCCTGTTCACTCTCTCTGTCTCTCTCTCTCTCTCTCTCTCTCTCTCAAAATAAATAAACTTTAAAAACTTTTAAAAAGAGAGAGATGGAGAGGAGGTAAAGGAAGCAAGTTTATTAAGAGACATTTTTTAGTTTCCTTCTTAAAATACATGCACGGAAAAGGTGGTGGAAATTGAAGAAAATAGATGAATTTTATAAAACAACGTATTCAGTTGGTATTAAAAAATGTAATTAAAAAATTCTAACGACTATCTATTGGTCATTTGCTACCAGACATGTACTGCTTTGTGTTCACAAACAAAACATCAACGAGTGCTGCTCCCTGGATTGAAATCGATGTTGCTGGCTTAGAGGCTAGTATTCTCTCCACTCTGCCCCAGTAATGAGATCTCGGTTGCAGATATTTCCTTTGGTGGATAAGCTGGGAAAAACAGAATTTGAGGGGAGGGAACAGGACTTAAGCTCTCGAACAGAAACTCGGGAAGCCAAGTGTCCCAACCTTTTTAGGATTTGTAATCATCTTGCCGGCTCTTGGAGGACTCAAGGGCAGGATCCATCGCGGTCATCCCTGTACTTACTACAGGAAATACTCAGCACAGCGCTTTGAAGACAGCAGATCCACCAAAAACATTTACAAAATTGAGTCAGTTGGTGAGTGTCGGCTTCACATGGCGGCCCCGCTCATGTCTTCATTAGATGTTCTCTAACAAAGACCTTTTGGACAACACTGACTTTAACTTACCCTCTTCCTTATATCACAAATGCATGCTATACAGGGCAGCTCATCTCCTTAGCTCTCACTTCAAGTACAAACAAAACCCTTACTTTTGGCCGTGGAAACCTATGTTGCAAATACTAAGAAAGTATACTGGGTAATAAACCGTAACACTGGCTACTATCCACTGAGATCCAGAGTAAGGGAGACGAAGCCACAAACACCGAACAGGGCCGCCTCCTGTTCCTCCTCCTAGCAACCAGTAGGAGTCACCTCTCAGTGCAGAAATCTCCTCCTCCAAGCAACCAGTAGAGTCACCCCTCAGTGCAGATTCATTGCACCTCTTGCATTTAAAAGGGTGACTTACTACTTGTAGCTTAGATGGCTCCGCCCCCCTGACTAATTCTGCTCTATGGACAGTTCTCATCAGTCTGTTAAATAAGAATTTGTTTGGGCACTGGGCCAGAGGTCTCTTCTTTGGGGAACTGATTTCACTGTCAGTGGTATTTTAATAAACATTTTTTTTAAATAAGGAGTGTAAACGCTGAAGGATTTCCCCCTTCCTTCCCGCATATGTCACATAGAAAGTTTACTGCTAGATCACATACAAATTTTAAGAAGGTGTCACCCAAATACATCAATAAGGGCTTCTGTCATATCATAAAAAAGGGTCTCCAGCATGACTAAACCAAGAAAAATTTCCCCAAATTCAAAAATCTCACACATCCTTACCTATTTAAAAGATCACTCAACTGAACAAACACACAAAATTCTCCACTAGAACATGAAAAGCGTTCACTGAACAAAAGCTTCCCAATTAGACTATATTCATATATAGCAGCCTTAGATATATGTATGTAATGATATATACGTGTGTGTAGATACATAGCCTCAAGCGTCCATTGTCTCTGTAGGAAAACCACCGATTAAAAAAAATCTCGCCATAGAAGTAGCTATTAAGACAATTTCATCAATTCACTCTATTCAGCTGCATTTCAAAACATCAAGAGAGGGACAGTTGCACAAAATCCCAATGAAAAGAACTAAAAACAGCAAAGAAACCAAAAACTCCCCTAATGTTTCAAAGTACACACACACACACACACACACACACACACACACACACACACACTTCATCACGTAAAGCAACCTGATGGGGCAGCTGCAGACTAATTATTCTCCATCCAATTATACTTCCATTCCAGAGTAAAAACAGGAGTTAAAATCTCTTTGGTCCACACCTTGATGGATTTAATGTGGCTAATTTTGGATTCCAAACCATGAGCTCCCTATTCCCTTACCATGATAACTTTCCTAAATCATGAAATAACCATATGTTGAAATAAATACCCATTTTGTAGATAGATCTGAAACAATGTAAACACATTATCAGTAATTCCTCTCAAAGAATATGAACACTTGAAATTATTGACAGAATAGGCAAAGTAAAGAACACAATTCAAGTCTGAAAGAAACGGAGAAATCAAACCGACTTGGGAAATGTATGCCTACATTTAATTTGGGAAAACATCAGGAATAGAAAGAACACATGAACATAATTCTAGGCTTGTACATAATAAAAAGAATCAATTTTAAGATTTACTCCAAAGATCTCTAGGGATGCATAGTTGCTTATTGGTTTTTTTTTTTTAAACAGATTTCCAAGCCACAGCATTAGTAAACCCCCCAAATTGGCCTCCATACTGGTAAAAGTATCCCCTACCCCAATTCCTTATTGGTAAATCATGCATACATATTCTGCTTTTTGGTGGACAGAAGTAGTGTGGGCAATGAAGTTCTTACATTTGAACAGGACCTAATAGAAAACTACTTTTTACCAAATCATTTATAAAACAGTGAGGCTAGAGTATGCAGATTATTTTCTGGATTGCCCTTCAGATATTTTCTGCAGTGGCTTTTTGAGTTAGTACATTTGTAAGAATACCTGGTATTTTTAAAAATCTCAGTAGGAGACAAATTCAACCAGGCTCTGTGTTTTCCCTTATTCCTGTACTCTTAAAAACGATTACATCTTGCCAGAATCCCTTAAAGTGTTGTATGCTCAGGGCTTTTTCATTCTAGTAAATTTAAAGAATAGCATAAAACAAGAACTGAACAACAGAATCACTCTACTACATGCTCAGGACTGTACTGATATGCTGAGATTAACTGCCAAATTTTAAAATTATGTACTATATACCCCAATTTTTACTTAGCGAAATCATGTTACCACATGCCCAAAGTAAGATAGTTTGTTACTTTTCGTATATAACTTACTTGTTACTTATCTACAAATGAGGCTTTTTGTTTTCACAGCCTAATTTAGGCCACTCTTTAAATATAGTTAATACTCCAGAATGAAAGATTAAGATTGTGTATGTTTTGTCAAAAATCAAGATATGTGCAACAAGTAATATAATCCCACCAAGATACTAGTTATAAAGATGTTTTCTCCATGGCTCACATGGCAAAAACTTTCTTTAGAAGGGTCAAAGAATGCAACATGCATTTCGGACTTTTCTTACAAAGGTTCTAAGAAAATTTTCAAATTATATTTTCATGACACACAAACTACAATCAACGTGTGTGACCCATAAAGTTTCTGAATTCATATCAACAGAATAGTTTCGTAGGAGGGAAACTATTAAAAGAGTGTTATTTAAGTGACTGGAAAGGATGCACCCTACAGGTCTACTTTGAGTCCTTAAAAGAGTTTAGCTAGTTTTCCATTAAGTATTATTTTCCACATAAATTAAAGTAAATAACAATAATGCCTAAACATATTAAAGCCCTAAATCCCAGAAACGCTCAACGTGAAAAATCAAGTAATTTCCCTATCATATTAAATGATCCGGTATTCAGCACTCATACGGGATTTAGCGTTACACGACAAAAATGTCACTAGTTACCTGAAGTCATGTCGGATGTGGTTCACAGCACTCGTCTACATCTACACTTGCAAATTGTCACATGATCAATGTTAAAAAACAAAAAAAGAAGAAGAAGAGGAGTTTGGCACATATATCAATTCCTCCAAACGTCCCTGTAACTTAACACAACACTGTTAACAACGGTGATTCAACACCAGTGTTAACCTGATTGGCAGCTAAACAAGGTGCTTCCCCTCGTAGCTTCCGGTAGTGTAATGCGCCTGGCCCGGGACGGAGGCACGTAAGGTGCAGTGCGGTAGTGCAATCACTTGAACACCAGAGGGCGATCGTTGCACACAGCTCAAGGCCTTCCTTCGCTTGTGACCCGGCTCCTTCCACCTTCGGGTACCATTTCACTCCCGCTCGTTAACAACGCCATTTTCTGAGAAGCTGTACATCTGTTTCCTTCGGTGACGTGAGGCATTCCCACCGAAACCTCAGAGTGTGGCGAGGATCCTTGAAAAGGAGATGATTAATGTCAATACAGTCTGTCCCACGCCCCACACCAGCGCTTCCAGGGGGGCCATGTTCTTCCCTGCTACTCTGTAGATGCCGGCGACGGCTGCACCTGGACGAGAGAGGGGCAGAGAAACAAGATCACACACGCATTCCGTCCGTGACCCCCTGCTCCGAGGCGACGTCGGTGTTTGCATTTCAGCAATCGATCATTCTCATTTTGTGAACCGTCCGCGGAAGTTTCCCTGGGACTGGCAAAAGTCACGCTTTACCACGTCACGTAACTGGAAGACAGGCCTCTTTTTTCCTATTCAACTGTAAAATACGTATTTATAGTACACGCTGTCACTAGGCACCGAACAGGTTCATAGAAAAGGAATAATTTGCTATTGGAATCTCTCACCTGGGCGTGGAACTGGCCAGACATCACCACTACTTTTATCAACATACAATGCAATGTATTAATAATTATTAGTGAAAAGAGAAAATTACAGAAGTTAATCAAAATTCTGAATTAACTAAGACATTTTTTAAAAAATTAATTCTTCGGTGTCCTATAAGATAATCAGGATAGCAGACTGCTACATTTCAGAATCTACCATATAAAGCAGTTTATTGTAGTTCTTAATAAAGCATACACCTGTAAAGTTATTTAGAGACTAGTATCTTGACATCTAATAAAAATGGAAGATGAACTCAGCACCTGTTCTGGGAGAAATGTTCAGATGGTGCACACTTCTGAGAATGAGAGAATCCCAGAGATTCTCCAGGAGAATTCCTGAGAGACCTCCCAGGAGTGGCAGAGCCCATATGATTGAATACTTCACCTTATTAATATAGTATATATAATGAAACATTTAAGTTACAGTATGCCTTCTTACAGATTGAGATGGCCTTAAAACTTTCCTCTAGAAAAAAAACTGTCTCTCTATCCTAGAATGACCAAACAAAAAGCAAGACCAGAAGTAGAGGATTCAGAGACACTGAAATGACCATTATTTGAGATAGAAATCCGTTCATAAAAATTAGCTAAGAATTATCTCTGTACTTCTCTTAAAATCTCCCAAATAAAAGGAACCATATTTCTCCAAAGCGATACACAAGGGAAAAACAAATTATTAATCTAAGCCAAGGACTTTATATGCACATTTTTAAACGTTTGCTTATTTTGAGAGGGAGAGAGAGAGAGAGACTAAGCTGGGGAGGGGCAGAGAGAGAGGGAGAGAGAAATCCCACGCAGGCTCTGCACTGTCAGCATAAAGCCCGACGCGGGGCTGGAACTCACGAACTGTGAGATCATGACCTGAGCCGAAACCAAGAGTCGGATACTTAACTGACTGAGCCACCCAGGTGCCCCTAGACACATTTTTTAAGAAGGAAATTAAAATGTGTATCATATTTCCTACATACTATGTTTCTTGATCGTACCTTTACAAATATTACCTGGTTTAAATATCCACACCACTCCAGGGTATTATTACCTAAAGATAGAAAACACAGGTTCACAGAGGCTCAATTACTAGCCTGTGGAAATACAGTAAGTACAAGAGCTGGAATTTCAATCTAGGTGAGTCTGGCTGTAAATCCCCAAAGCAGTCTATCATTTCACATTGACACTATTTGAAAGAGAGAACAAGGAATTCAGAAAATCATAAAGTGAATAATTATCATCTCAACATTAAATAAAACTTCTAATGGCACCTGCATTTGCTTAATCAAGTAATAAACTTCACTAGTGTAATTGGTGATATCCTCACATCTTAGAATTGGATAACAGTCTTTAAAAATTGTAAAGATCTGGGGCGCCTGGGTGGCTCAGTCGGTTAAGCGTCCGACTTCGGCTCAGGTCACGATCTCACGGTTCGTGCGTTCGAGCCCCGCGTGGGGCTCTGTGCTGCCAGCTCGGAGCCTGGGGCCTGCTTCGGATTCTGTGTCTCCCTCTCTCTCGGCCCCTCCCCCGCTCATGCTCTGCATCTCAATAATAAACAAACATTAAAAAATTGTCAAGATCTTCTGCTTTCTCTGTTATCAGAAATTATATTAAACCTGAGAAATACTCCACTTTTATGAGGATTTACCCCAGATTTCCAAGACTATCGTCAATTTTAAAAACACCATTTGGCCTCCGTCCTTCCAGCATGAAGTTTTCAAAAATGATCCAAAGGAGAGGAAACACTGGGCACTCAACTAGCTCCAGCGGCCTAGGGAATGGGAAGCAAATCTATCAAGTCAAACTTCTTCACACGTTTACATGACACGAAGAGCGTGGGTTCTGGAGCCAGACCTGTGGATTAAAGTCTGCGATCCGCCACCTTCCAAATGGGCCACCCACGGTAATCACTTCCCCTCTCGTGTGCCCTGTTTCCTCAGCTGTAATGGGCGCGGGTGAAGACGAACAGGTGATGCTTGGTAAGTCTTGGGAGAGTGACTGGTCCTAGGATGCGCTCTCAACTTTGGCTGGCAGTTGCCACAGCAGTGGATGAGACAGGTGTTTCCCATGGGTCGTTCGGCATTCGGCAAATGGTGCCGGAACACGTGGCTGCCGCTGGACGCCATAAATCTAGGTCCCTACTTCAAACCGCTCCCCAGAATAAATTTCAGATGGGTTAAAGAACAAAATGTTAAAAACGAAACTACGAATGTAAATTTTAAAGTATAAGAGAATATGGGGCGCCCGGGTGGCTCGGTCGGTTGGGCGTCCGACTTCGGCTCAGGTCATGATCTCACGGTTTGTGAGTTAGAGCCCCATGTCGGGCTCTGTGCTGACCGTGCAGAGCCTGGAGCTGCTTTGGATTCTGTGTCTCCCTCTCTCTCCCCCTTCCCCGCTCATGTTCTCCCTCTCTCTCTTTCTCTCTCTCTCTCTCTTTCTCTCTCTCTCTCTCAAAAAATAAATAAAAATGCTAAAAAAATTTAAATATGAGAGAATATATTTATGATCTTAGGAAAAGAGAACTGCTGAAAGACTACACAAAAATAAGCAGAACCCATCAAGGGACAGACTAGAACACTTGATTAAGATACTTGATTGATGTCCAGAATACAGACACACATATACACACACAAACACACATAGAATAACCGAGGCAGTACTTTTTGTAAAAGCAAACAGAACAAAACAAAACAAACAAAAAACCAAACAAAAACACAAACAAAAAACCCTAAAACTCCACAAAGTCAAAAGCAAGAACCCAAGTCCATCAGCCTGGAGTGGTTAAACTATACCAAGTCCACACCATGAAACCCATACAATTTCAAAGGAAAAATATAAACTTTATGAACCAACTCAGAAAGGACCTAAGACATGTCATTTATGCAACAAAGACAATGGAACACAAGACTATATATTCTCCACTAGTACATACACCCGCATGTAAGTGCACCTATATGTAAACATGTCTATAGGAAAATACAAACAAATGTGATAAGTAAATAGAAATCTGGGGAGATACATACCAAACTGAAAGTAGGGATTACAACTGAGCAGAGCACTGATTTGGGGGTGTCATCAAAAGAGTGTTATGCAGAGAATAAAACAAATGAGAATATAAATTTCATTTTCTTTCCTGTTGATAATCAGCTAGGGACCAGTTTGGAAGTTACCACCTCGCTCCAAGAGAAGCAGATGTGCAGAAGTCCTGTATGATTTCACACCCAGAAGCACTGGTCAGAAAAGACTGCGTCAGTGGAATTCTCGATCTAAAAGATCTGCAGGCAAACAATTTTAAATGTTTGGGAACACTGTACTTGGGAACACTGCTATTGAATAGTGAGCAGATATTTATAAAACTACACGTAGGTTATAAAATAACAAATTCCCAAGTACTGTTATCCAGCTGAAGAAAAGAACGTCTCTATTTCCTTTGAAGTTCCCGTGGACTCTGCCCAGTCACGTCCCATTCCCTCCCTGTATTTGTTTTGTTTTGTTTTTGTTTTTTGATCATTCCTTTGCTTTTCTTTGGCTTTACCACCTTCCTGTGTCCTAAAAATATATATGACTTAGCTTTCTGAATAAACTAATTTTTTGTAAATGGATACTGTACACCTTACAGGTCTGAAAGGTATCATGCGTGTGGTATAGGTATAATTCATGCATTTTCGCTACTGCATAGAATTCTACACATGAATATACCACAATTGATCCATTCCACTGCCAATGACCTTTGTTTCCAATACTGAGCAATGAGAAACACTGCTTCTGTGAACATCCTTGCGTGCAACCCTTGGCACACAGAAGCACTCAAAAATTTCTCTTCATCACACGGGTGAAAGTGGGACTGCTCCGTCTCATGTTACGGGCATTTTCAACTTGGCTAAGGTGATGCTAAACTGTCTCCCAAAGAAGTTACCCCAATTTATATTCTAGTTACTCCATATCTTCAAAAGCAGTTGGTATCTTTTTTTTTTTTAATCTCTGTCAGTCTGATGGGTAAAAGGTATCTCTGTGATTAATTTGCATTTCCCTGATAATAATTAATGTGACTGAGCTTTTCTTCACATATCAATGGCCAGTAGGGTTTTCTACTTTTACAAAATGTTTGTCACATCTTTTTTTTTTTCTAATTTTTTAAATTACATTTCTTTCTTTTTGAGAGGCAGAGAGAGACAGAGTATGAGTGGGGGAGGGGTAGAGAGAGAGAGGGAGACAGAGAATCAGAAGCAGGCTCCAGGCTCTGAGCTGTCAGCACAGAACCTGATGGGGGGGCTCGAACTGACGAACCGTGAGATCACGACCTGAGCCGAAGTCAGACGCTCAACTGACTGAGCCACCTAACCGCCCCATAAAACATTTGTCAAATCTTTTGTCCTTTTTTCTACCGAGTTGTCTTTTCTTATTTGATTCGTAGGGTTTCTAGAATATAGTTTGGATATTAATCTTTCTATATTTATATATGCTAACAAAGGTCCTCCCCCCAATTTGAGCTTTAGTTTTTACTCTCTTTAAGGTCTATTTGGCTGAACACTAGCCAGTTGAAAGAATACAAATATTATGGTCTTTATTTTCTTGGGGAAATACAAGGCTAAGTTATGCAAGAATGAAGAAGACACAAGCAAAACAGGATGTTTGAAGTCAATGATACATGTTCAGAACTGCCCCTCCCAACAATGGCAGAC